ACATTTGACGTAGTTGGAGTGGCAGGGGCTGGGGAAGGCAGGCCCTATTTTTGGCCCATCACACCAGCAGGTTACACACTGGCCATCCTCCTGTGCAGCACCTGGGCCTGCCGGGGCTGCAGCTGCTGCTGGCGGAGCTTCTGCCTGATGTTGAAGCAAAACGGCACAGGGCAGTAATTCTCATGGCAGCGCTTGGCATGGTAGCAGCAGAGGGCAATGAGCTGCCTGCAGACGGGGCACCTGCCAGTGCTCTTGCGTTTGCAGCCCTTGGTATGATGTACAACCCGCTTCATCTTCTGGCAGGAGGGCAACGGGCAGTTGGCATCCCGGCACTGGCAGGCTAGGATCAAATATTGGATGTTTCGTTGGATGCTCAGGCGGCGAGATTCTTCTTGGCTCTGGGCGGCTGTACTCTGTGGGTCATCCTCTAAGCCAAGACCCAGTTTCTCCATTGGGTGGTCATGATTTTTAGTGTAATAGCAGGAGATACACAGGTCATAATCCTAGGGAAAAACATAGGAGGTGCAGGTGAACCCTTAGAATATACCTGTTGAAATCACTTAAGATACTCTCTGCTGGGGGTAGAAAAGATCCCTTTGTTTTCTCTGTGGCAAGCCCTTAATCTGCTGACCTATCTCCCTGGCCTCTCCCTCTGCTTTTAAAGACAGAGCCTTGTTATGTATTCTAGGCTATCCTTGAGCTTGCTCTGTAGGCCAGAGCTGGCTTTAAAGTTGTGATTCTCCACCCTCACCTAACCAAGTGCAGGGATTAAAGATATGTGTCCCCAAGCTGTCTTAGAAAAGCTATTTATTTACTTATTTATTTATTTGTTACAGGGTCTTGCTATGCAGCTCAGACTCCTAGTGATCCTGTCTCAGCCTCCCCAGCACAGGGATTACAGATGTGCACCACCATGCCTGGTTTTGAAACCAATTCATTGTGCCCAGGGTTCTGGGGCCAGCACAGCACATGGTACCAGGTCCTTCTGCTTACCAGGCAGGCACTTAGACCACCAAACAATCTCCCCAGCCCAGAAAAGCTGCTTTTTATGCAACAGTACATCAGCTCTGCCACTCAACCTGAGATCAGGCTATCCCACCCTGAGGACGGGGATATATGGAGCACATGCAACATGCTTCTACACCATCTTTCAGGCTAGAGGGATCTGCTCAACCTGCCCCCTTCTTCCCAAGACTTGGTGCCTACCTGGCAGACAGTGCAGTGCCAGTGTGTGTCCACACGGTGCTTGCACTCACAGCAGGTGCACAGCAACTGGCAGGCGAACCTGCATGGGTGGTTTGAGTGAAGCGGACTCATCATCAATCAGAGCACTGGAGATGAGAGGGTCAAGGTCACCAAGGGAGGCAGGAAACTTGTGGGTTGGTTTTTATTTTTTTTTCAGAGCCAAGAATTGAACTCAGGCCCTTGTGCTTGCCAGGGAAGCACTTACTCCACTGACCATCTCCCTGGCCCAAAGAGGTCTTGTGGAAGTGAGACTCACCCTGACTCTTGACCACAGAGTTGTGGAGTATGGACATAAGGTACTTCACCACACCGCCCTCTCCTTCCTCGTACTGGGAATTGAACTCACGAACTCGTGTAAGTGCTGTGCCACTGAG